TGTCACTTTCTTCTTCAGATTCATCTTCCTCCTTATCATCTGTAATAACTCGAATCCAATTTGGGATATTTAATTAAAATCGGAGAAGAATAATTAAATAAACGGGTACTAAACCTTAAGATAGGGACCACAAAGTGTCGGAAAAAGGCCCGGAAAACCACCCCGAGCGAATGAGACGAGAAAACGACAAGAAAAAGGAAAAATATGTCTAGACCGATCGGTCTAGAACGAAGACCGACCGGTCTGGACAAAAACGAGGTCGATCCAAAAAAAAAAAAGTCTAGACAGATCGGTCCAGGCTCTGGACCGACCAGTCCAGGCGAAAGGAAATATCCGGCGACCTTACATTATTGGACGCGGCAAAAACTCGACAAAAGGGACCTAGCTGCCGCCTAACCCCACCCAACCCGTAATGGGAGACACCAGCTCGCCTCCGTACCCTCTCATCTGCCCCACAGCCTTTCAATCGTCCCTAAAAACTCTCAAGAAGTGCACAAGTCGGCCACACACTTGAATGATTTTGGACGTACACAAATGCTGGAGAAAGACACTCACCCAGAAAGAGAGAGGGAGTAGGGGGAAAGAACTCGGTGGAGCAACAAGGGACAGCCGTATAACGTCTGAGAGGATCGCCGTCGTCGGAATCGCCGGAAAACTCCATCAACTCCGGGCAAAACCAGAAACAGTCCTGGTTTGAGTGAGTGGCTCGAGTTGCCTCTGTGTGAGCTCATTTTCATCGTTGTTATGGTGTTAATTCGATGAAACCTGGCATAATTAGAAAGTGGAAGTTGCAATGAATACAGAGAAACAAACGACACTCAATTTGGTGAAGAAACGAGCAAGATATGAAAGATTGAAAATCGGAGAATAACTGTAAAATTGCAGAGAAAAACGCAGAAGCATGCTGAGTCCAAAACTTTCGGGCCATTACCCAGAAATTAGGTGTGATAATTGAATGAATTGTTAGTTGGAATCAAAAGAGGACATTTCAAGGAGCACGTAGAAACAAACGACACTCAATTTGGATAAGAAACGAGCAAGTTATGAGCCAAGGAAGTCGGACCAGAATCTGGGACGAAATCGCGAAATCTCGATCTCTCTGGGCTCTGGACCGACCGGTCCAGACCCTGAAAATGCCGAAACGGTCCGAAATGGCCTGGACCGACTGGTCTAGACCCTGGGAAGACCTGGACCGACCGGTCCAGACCCAGAAACCACCGAAAATGCCCGGAATGACTAGGAACAATCGGTCTAGACCCTGGAAAAGCCCGGAACGACCGGTCCAGACCAGAAAGTGATGAAATTGAGCCAAAAAGACCTCAGGATGAAATATAAACCTAGGAATCGACCAAACTATATGAAGAACGAGTTGGAACATGACAAAAATGAAAAAAAAAGGAAGAATTAGAATAAATTAATAAATTGAATGCGTGGTGAGATGTGCGACACATACCGAGAGAATCGTTGTATCTTGCTTGAGTTTTATTCTCCGATGGGTCATGAGAACTGACGTGCGTGTAAAGTGCATTGATTGTTGCGCGAAGTAACGGCCAACGTCATGAGATGTGACGGGCGTGAGATGCGCTCCTAGTCATGCGATGTGACTAGGGTTTACGGCTAACCCAATAGTGCGATGTCATACAGAATGTGATTGTTGCGCGAAGCAACGACCAACGTCATGAGATATGACGGGCGTGAGAGGCGCTCCTAGTCATGCGATGTGACTAGGGTTTACGGCTAATTCTATGGTGTGAAGCCATACATACTTGATTGTCGTGAGATGCGACGGCCAACGTCATGAGATGTGACGGGCGTGAGAGGCGCCCCTAGTCATGAGAAGTGACCAGGGTTTATGGCTGACCCGATGGTGTGAAACCATACGGGAATTGATATGATGATGTTTTAATATGATATGTATGCGTGTTGAATATTGAATATTATACCTTGTGTTTTATCATTTTAATACCGTTCTCACTGGGAACGGGTTTACCGGATCTAACCCGGATCATTCACTAAGCAGTTGTGCTTAGCCCTCGTGGTTTTACCTTTTTCAGATCACGAGGAGCACGAGTAGCACGTTTGGTGTGACGAAGACTTCGAAAAGACAGCATCGTGTACGAGGTTTTCCTTATTTGTATGATTTGAACTATAGGTACGATTTCCATGTTTGTATGGTTGTATCTTTTCAATTCGGACATGTGTGTTTAAGACTTAAATGTTGTTATATTCCGCTTCGTATTTGATATTTTAAAAAGTTTTAAAATTCCCGTATTTTTGGTTTGTATTATTTTATTTGTTTTTCGTCCATGTGGCACATCCTGTGACGGGAATCTGGATACGGGTGTCACATCATCCTTCCCTCCAGAATCTTCTCCCTCATCAAGGGTCCCCTCGACATGTGTTGAATATAAATCAAATAATACAATCAGTTTAAAGCATGACCATGTGACTCTGTGACCATGTGACTCTGTGACCATGATAACATGATGAAATGGTCGAATACTTACTTGTTTATCAATGTACTGAAGCTCCATCTGACATTTTGTTTCATTGACTTCTTACACATTTTGGGACACGTCGGATCCGCATCTTCAATGTCTTTGTACCATCCATTGGTACCCAAGCTCAAGATACATTCGAAAGGTAGCAACTGCAATGCAACATTTAAATATTATATCACACCATAAATAACAAATAATATAACAACTTTCAAATAAAATATACAGCAAAACAATAACTTGCCATAAGCGGTATTATAAACCCTCGACAATGCCACTTAGTCTTTGGTGTTCCACTCATGAAGATCTTTCGTATTTGATCAATGATTTTTTCGAATGTATAACGTCCCCAGAGAAATTTTTCACAAAACTCCAAATCATTAACCATGTCTACCAAATCATGGTTTATGTGATCATCTGGTGTACCATGATCTAGGACTCCTCCAAGTAACATCACAATTGTCAGTTTCTTCCGGTCGGCAACCCTATGAGTAGGTGTCTTCTCTAGTTGCCTGAACACACTTTGTTTAGTCACCTTTCCTTTTCCAAATGTCTTAACTCTAAAGTGACTTTTTCTCTTATACTCCCACCCTCCCGGATAATCACCGCACTTTAATCCGCATATTAGTGCGTGCTCGATAATCGAGTATCTGATTGGTACACCATTATAGACAAACCACAG